TGGTGCATGCATTTCATCCCTAGCATGGATGTTCATATCGTTTCCTTCTTTTTCGGCCATATGACACAATCCAATTTTCTAGCATGTATTGGATTCAATACTTCCATATCTTTTTCGTACATGTTCTGTGTTGTATTGGTGTCTTTATTTGTTCTTTTCCTGTATCTTTTTCATAGATCTAGATTTCTATACAATTAATGTTGTAGTGTTTAGCCTAGTTTTTTTTACGTCATATGGAAAACAAATGATCACTTTTAGTAATTCTTAATTTTGAATTTAGTTGTTGTTTATAATTTATATGGACTATTTGGAGACCAAACTATTAGTTTTTATAGTGTTTATTAAAATTTTGCCTTTGTCAAGTGTCTTCCTCCTAGACTCCTAATTTATGTATTTTTCTTCCCAGCTCGTATCGAAATAAAATTGTTACTTTTTATTTAATTTGTTGTTTTGAAGTATTTGCTATTTAATATTTTTTTAGTCATGTACTCTTTTGTTTAATCTGAGTCATTAGATAATTATAAAATCTAATTGTGTAGGTTCTTCTCTTTTTCATGGTTAATCTTTCTTGCAATTTCTTGGCCCTCTGGGTGAACTTGATGGCCCTTTTTAAGCTATTGTATATAGTAGGTAATAAATAGATGTTTGCAAAATATGGTGGGCCGTAATATTTGGAACGTTTTGTAGAAAAAATGTAGAAGCGTGCCATCTAAATAAATGGGTTTAAAAATAAATTAAAAAATATTTGACTGAACCCAGCTTAAAATAGCATTGCTTTGCGAGTAGCCAAGCCACGAAGATTGGAATAGTAATGATTGCTATAAGGGGCGAAGCTATATGATAGCTAGGGGTGCAAATGCACCTCCTAACAAATGAAAACAGTGAATTTAGCTAAATTTCCACCATATTATAAGTCTATGTACCCCAGGATAAGTGTACTTTCTCTAATTTACTTGAGCTCTGCCACTGTTGCTATAGACATGCTTCGAGGGGGTTGTCGATCCAAAACAATGCAAACAAGAGACAAAGGAGTCGGTACCTAGCTTGTTAGTAGTAATCAATAATAACTGCAGTAGATCGTCATCCTTTCCTTAACACGCGCCATGTTTGTTTGGCTTATAAGTCGTATTTTTAGTCAATGAATATTATTTTTCTCTCACAATAAATCAGCCAACAGTACTTTCAGTTATGACTTATCAGCCAAGCGAATAGGACAATGCATGATAGGTTTGCTGCGTGTCAGGTGTTGTGTTGGTGGGCCGTTTTTAGGTCCGTGCACGCACGCTGGTAGTAGTCCGTAGATCCGGGTCCGGATGTACGTACTTCGTTGAAGATGTCGGCGGCACGAATCTCCAAGCAGGGGTTCATCACGGACAAATTAAAACCTTGCTCTTGCTGCACAGAATGGTCGTCGGCGACTCGGCGGCAGACATCTGTGTGACTGAGGCCTTGTTTAGATCACTTCTAAATTTCAAGTTTTTTCATTCTCTCTATCACATCATTTTTTAGCCGTTTGTATGGAGCATTAAATATAGGTAAAAAAAATAACTAATTGCACAGTTTAGTTGGAAATCACGAGATGAATCTTTTGAACTTAGTTGGTCTACGATTGAACAATATTTACCAAATAAAACGAAAATGCTACTATTTATCGGGTTGAAATTTTTTACAATCTAAACATGGCCTGACTGTTTGTGTCGTCTTGCGTTTGCGTCAGGACAACGGGATCGGAGGTCGAGCGTTACCTGCACCGAGACGCGGCAGATGTTCCGAGCCTTGGCATGTGCATGGGCATGGCAGCACCGCGGATAAGGCTCTTAATTGTTCATTATTTTTCTTTTTTGCTGTTGCGATGGGAAGGTCTTGTTCGGTTGTTTGCTAGACGGTGAAGTCTTCACTCTTCAGACCAAACTGAAAAAAAAAGGCCAAGCATATACAACCTGTTCGTTTCGGCTTATTCGCTCGTATTTGGCTTATAATCTACAACTTGAACAGTGTTTTTCTTTCACACCAAGTCAGCCAGCAGTACTTTCAGTCATGACTTATAAGTCAATTCAACCGAAACGAACAGGCTGATATACCCGGCCTCTGGTCCTACACTTCCCCGTCGCTGATCCGTCAGGCTACAATTGCGAGAAGCAACTCGTCCTCCTCGTTGCATAAACCCACTGTTGTCATCGAGCCGCAATGAATCAGACCTCAGCTGCGGCAAACACGAAATTCAGTCGATTCTCTCCGTTTACAAAAAAAATATACACATGCATGTCGCAGCAAAACTAGCATTAGATTAAGATAGGTTGCGCATGCAGATGTGTGAGATGCATCACGCTCGGCGAACAAAAAATGTAAGGAAGCGGCGGGGAGATCCTTGGTCGATCGGGTCGTTTTCATGTGGCGGCAACGGGAATTATTTAATTATAACCTTAATCATGCATCATTGAGAAACATATCCAGAGGAGAGGAACACATCATGCTTTCATGGGATGGTTATTATTGTGAAGCGCCATTTATATAGTTTACCAAATTATGGTGTCTGACCCCATTGTTTCGTGGCCAAATTGACCACATATACGACCATAATGCCTAGGCATTTTTGCCGAGATAGGAAACAAATACTTACATCCTCCCGTCATGAGTAACGTGTCTAACAATTGCATGGTCTACCTTCAAAACACAACTTTTTATGGTTTTCATTGGCAATCTTTTGTTACAATATACTCCCTCCGTTCCAGAATAAGTATACCTCTCGCTTACTGAGAAGTTAAACTTTTTTAAGTTTGGTCAAATATATACACAAAAACACTAATATTTATGATGTGTAATACCTATAGTTAGATTGATTGTAGACAATAATTTTAGACTTTTGTTATTTATCTGTTGACATATTTTTTTATACTAAATCTGTCAAATTTCTGTACGTTGGATTGTGCTTTAAGATTTGTGCTACAACTGTCAACTGGGTCACATTTATAAAAAATCTAACATATTTGATCATATAAAATGTGTTGACAGATAACTAACAAACTTATTTAGAGATATTCTATATATGTAATCAAATTAAAAAATGCTTGATTCCTCGATGCGAGATGGAAAGAGTAGTTATCAAACATATAATCTGCACCTGGGGCGGTGATGGTGTGGCTGCTCTAGCCATGTCCGTGTGGCTTCGCATGGGCTGATTCGAAGGCGCTATTGGGATGGCTGGAAGAGACGTTGGCGAGCTTGGTGGCAGCGAGTCCTCTTGCTTGAGTGGCGGGTACCCTGTGCAGGCAACATGGCTTCTATTTTTGCTGGCGTAAAGTCCATTTATGGCTTCTATTTATGGATCTTCCGTCCCATTGGTTAGATGGGCAGATCTGAATGCAACGGTGATGTTGTCGAGGCGCAGCGTGACCCAACTGTGCAGGCAACGATTTGTTTTCCCAAGGTTCATGGTGGAGCGAGTTGGCAATCGTAGGCGAGGCCGTGCATGGAGGCTAACTGCCGTTGTCCAATTAGTCTCATGTAAGGGGCAACGTGCGGTGGTGTTCACAATTCGATGCCGTGCCTAGTGAGTGTTGATGTTGTAGCAAATGAGCTAAGAGAGTGGGCGTCAGTGGAGACAGGAGGTGGCCTTGCCGAGGGTATCCATAGGATTGGAAAGCTTCTGTGTGGCAGTTGCTAGGCGACGACTACAAAGTTAGTTAGAGGCCGGTGCAGCACAAGGTGGGCTAACAAAAGTGCGCTATTGCTTTGGATTGTGTAGAGACCTTCAGATTGACTGATGGAAGCATCTATTGTGATGTGTTGTTTTTTGGGCAAGGTTGCTGGGTTGATTGGACCTCTATAGTCGGCAACTAGAGGCAATTGTTCCTGTGGCGTCTTCATGGCTTGCGGCGGACTTTGGTGGCTATCCTTGTATGGTAGTGATTAGTGTGGTGTAGGACAACGTTGGTAGGCGACACAAGCGGAAATGATGCCGCGATATATCTACATAACTTGCAGCGGCCTGCCTTGCATAGCGTGGCTTGCTCGGTGTGAGACATCACATTTACACAAGCAGTGGTGATGGTGTGTGGAATTGGTATTTTATTATCTGTGTGGTGGTTTTGTGGTGCATCTTTGTTGTATGAGCTACGCTGGTGTCTCAATCCAAACTCTTGGCGCAATTATTATTTTTAGTTGTTAGCTCTTAGTTGTTTTTGTTTTTCTTGGCGCAATTATTATTTTTAGTTGTTAGCTCTTAGTTGTTTTTGTTTTTCAAGTCACGGCTCTACTACTATTATTTTACCCGATCTAGGTTTATTTATTTTTTAATATATGTAGTAACTCTCCTGTGTAGTTCATTAAAAAGAAGATAATATGAACTTTTGATTTCCAAAATGCTGGTTGTATTGCACTTTTCAACTACCACTTATACGATGGCGGTAAATTAAACGGTGTGACACAAACCATTACGTACACAGTTTGACAGTACAGTAATACATATTCAATGTATTGTTTACTTTGGGCGATCAAGTTGACAAACCAGAGAGATAATATCTCAGTTCTCCTTTTCCTAGCAGAGGTGCCGGGCAATCCCAGTTGCATTTTTTTTCTACCACCATTTCTTCATATGCTTACACCAGACAACCCTCTTTTGATTATTATGTCCACTAATGTTGCCGTCTCACATGCTCGTTGGTCGTCGGCAAAAGCCAGCTACGGATCGGATACAGGAGAGAGCACATAAAGGGCGCCCGTGGAGGTGAGAGAGATCAGAGATCAGAGATGAGCGGCAAGTAGACAGCCTTCTTCTCCCATGTCTGCCAGTCCCTGCACTGCAAACTGCTGATCCATGGATATATAAAAATCACTTCTCATTCTCATCTCTCAAGCGCCACCTACTTCTTCACTCTGCTTCCCTCCTTTTCTTGCAGCACCCTCTCTCTCCTTCTCTCTCCTCCTTCTCTCTCTCTAGGCTAGCAGAGCAGAGCAGAGCAGAGTGTCAGTGAGTGTGCAGTGCACAGTGCATGTTCGCCATGGCAAGCGCCGGCGGCAAGGAGGAGCCCGGGCTGTTCGCGAAGCAGGGGAGCAAGCTCCACGCGAAGATGCTGTCCAAGGAGGCGGCGGCGCAGCTGGCAGTGCCGTCGTTCCGGGTGTACTACCCCGTGGCGTCGGCGGGCGCGGTGCCGTTCCTGTGGGAGTCACAGCCGGGCACGCCCAAGAACGACTCGCCCTCCGCGGCCACGCTCCCGCCGCTCACCCCGCCGCCGTCCTACTACTCCTCCGCGGGCAGGGGCGGCGCCGGCGGCCGATCCAGGACCCGCCGGCCCGGCTGCGGCCTCCTCGGCGCCATCCTCCCCAGGAGGATCACCCTCCTCCGGAGGAGGCCCGGAGGCGGCGGCAGCCGGACGACGCCCGCGGCGTGCTCGTCCTGGTCCTCCTCCTCCTGGTCGTCGTCCAGTTCCAACACGTCGGCCACCATGTCGCCCGTCTTCACCGTGCAGGGCGGGGCTTCCCGTGGCCACCACAGGCGCGCGTTCTCGGCCGTCGCCGGCGGCGTCGACGACGACGCGCAGGAGGAGGCCAGGCCGCGGTGCTTCTGGACGGAGCGCGAGTGCTGCGAGAAGAGGGCGGTGAAGGGGTGCGGCGTCGCGGTGGCCGTCAGGAACGCGCTGGCCACGGTCGTCGGCGGCAAGCCCGGCCGGCGAGCTGCCACTACCAGCGCCGTAGCATAGAGAGGCTTTTTGATTGATATGAATATGCATAAAGCTCAGGGTGTGCTTTGCATTTTGCCGCAGCATGTGTAATCTAATCTATGTGCTTTGTAGTAAAACTTGACGTGCAATGCCAAAAATTAATCGTGCGTGATATATATGAAACATATATATATAACAGTAAGTATTTCGTGTATGTATGTTACAGTATATATACATATATATACGGTCCTGTGTACTCTCTGGTCCTGCAAATATTTGTGCTTGTCCCAAAGTTGTTGAGTGTATTCACCACAGAAACGCTGGTGATCGGGGTGGTAGATCTATCTACAAGATGCTACTCAATACTCTTTTTTGTATTTACTCCTTTTTTTTGTATTTTTTTACTTCTCAATAATTTTTTTATATATTGAGGCGTACGTCATCCCACATTTGATTAGAGTACTTTTTTGTTTCCAAATAATCATATATGTTTATTTTGGATATTTGCCATGTTTCAACTAGTTGGCATTATCCCCTTTGGGGCTGTAAAAGCAAAAAGTTTCCTATAAAAATATCCAAGATCAAACTACTTGAATAAAATCTAATAGCAAAGCAAACACGAACTGCCTAAGGGCACGTACAAGCCCGTCTGCAGAGCCGTCTGCATAAACGGAGTTTTGCAAAAACACCCTTCATTAATGATGAGATAGAGCTGCCCCGTCGCCTGGTGAGACGCCGAGCGTGGCCCGTGCTCCGAGGTTATACCGCCGCACCTTCTCCCGTTATACGCAGCGTTGCGAGCAAGAGACGGCTTGCCATGATCAACTGTGGCATCCGAGACCGGGCTAGTGTATGTCTGTGGCATGTATACGGCTTTATAATCAGCAACTACTTGTGTGATATTATTGTTATAGAATATAAGATAGACTCGTCTTGCACGTAACAAACTACTTGTGTGATCCGTTTTCTATCAAATAACAACAAAATGGTCTTCATAATTGATTTTGGCTACATAAAAGTATTAAATAGCTTGTAGACAACTAAATAGACAGTCCATTGTATAACCTGTCTTTTTAATCGTCCGTGTTCGGATTCCAAAAACTTACAGACAGGAGGCTGTCTGTGGGCTGAACGTGCCCTAATACTTCCGGACAAATAACCTCCCTGAATTCCATCCAGTATGTCATTTGGATCATCTACCCAGCTAGCTTGTCCCAACTCCCAAGTAGTAATTAAAATAGTTTATGAGACCCAATGGAGTCAGTCTTTCATGAAGCTTCAGAGAAAATTAAGCACAAATCTAGGGACTGATCCCCTGTCTTGCCACCCTCATGATACATGTATCTGTCACAAATCTGCCTGCAATTGTTTTCTCCAACTTACACCAATTTGAATTGCAATATACTACCATTTAGTAACATGGAGTTCTGAACTTAGCTGAAATATTTTAATTGTGGCATGCAGTTAGTTTAAGGTTCTTGAGAGGCCATGCATGGATTTGCACCCTTGGACATTGTTCTTGACTCTCTTGCTTGACCACCATTAATCACTGTCTCAAACTTTGTTTAGTCCTCTCGGATTGTCATAAGAAGATTAAAAGGATTAAATCTTGTTTACCGAGTCCAAGGTTCCTGGATGCTGCTACCAAGAAGAAGACAGTAGTGGTTAAGCTCTGATGTTGTTTTAGAATTTCCAACTCTGAAAAAGAGAAGAAACTATCATGTTCAGGCCTTGGGGTGATGTGTATTGTGGACTATGAATTTTAAAAAGAATTTATTATCATCATCTACATATCATGAATGCATGAAAGTTGCTTGCATCAAGTGTCTGTCTAGACAGTTATGGTTTAAATGATCTCAGTTCATCTATTTGACCTCCATCAGGTTCAAGTTTATCCATGCAGTGTCACTGTCTGATGACACTGAAATTATCTCTTATCAAAATGACTCACCTGATGTTATCCTAAATTAATCCACAACAATTCATGCCATTTGTACTGAGAATCCCAGGACATGAAAGTTCAGTTACACCATTACTACAAATGTACTAGCAATTCAATCATCCTGCAGAACTGAATTCCTGCATTGCCCTCTTCATCCCTTGAGAAGAACCGGAGAGGTGTCTGTTGGCCAAACTTCCTGACCAGAATGAGGTGCTCAGTAAAGGCAAGGGCATCAGGGCCACTGGCTGGCAGGCCAGCTACCAGACCTGGCTGGGGGGGCTCCATCTCTGCTGCTGCTGCACATTGCTATGGATGGCCATTGATGCAGAGGCTTGCCTTGCCCCCCATATGAAGGGCACCAAGTAGTTGAAGCACTCACAGCACGGAGGAGGACACTGACGTTATTGCACTTGCAGGACCACCTCATCTCATCAAGTGCTGATTTTTTTCTGAAAAAAAAACTGCATACAGGTGCAGAGATGGACCCATGTTTCACTCACTGCTTGTGGTGATTAGGTTTAGCTGGAGGATGAACTCAGCTTGCTGTCCAGGCTGTTTTAGGCAAATGACTATGTTTAATTGTTTGCATGCAAGCATCACTTGCTTGTCACCACTTTGAGTAACTTGAGTTCCTGCGAAATGAATGGCGACTGATGTGCGAGGGCAGAAAAATTAGGTGCAACTTCACACTGATGCATATATATAACAGACAACTGATGTGCTAGGAATTGTTCATTTAGAGCTTAAGACAGGTCAATGCTGCCCTAAGTGATAAGCAACGCTGCGAGATACCTTTCAATCACAAATTCATTATCCTTCTGATCATGTACAGAGTACAGGCATGTAGGTCATTGTAGTTACAGCCTGTTCGTTTCGGCTGGATTGGCTTATAAGCCATGGCTGAAAGTACTGTTGGCTAGTTTGATGTGAGAGAAAAATATTGTTCGTTGGCTGATAAGCCAAGGCTTATAAGCCAGATACGAGTTGCCGAACAGGCTGAGTAGGACTTCAGGTTTGCCTAGAACAAGTTGCTGCACCTTTTAAAAAAAAAATAAGAAAATTTTATTTTAGTTTCTGTATGATGAGTTACACACTCAACCAATCCTTATTACAGTTCCAGCGCGCCTCCGGCTATAAAATGGCAAGCCCACGTAAAGCTAAAAATTAAAATCCAACAGCAGCTAAGTACTGAAAGTCTATTTTTTTAACGCAATAAGCACTATATATAAGAAGACAACCATGTATGCTCAGCAAAGATCTCAACTGCCGCCATTCGAGCAATCCATTTTAGCCTCGGCCTATCCTTCTGTCTTTCTGGAGGATGGACCGGAGGAACATCATCATATAGCCAGCCTCTTCGCAAGACGCTGTCAAATGGATTAGGTGTGCCGCATCATGCTATTCCTGACTATCTGTCATAAATTAGTGTGATTCTTAACCGAACCATTAGATGTTAATTGATTACAGATCATAGCAATAGAGATCTGCACAGGAAACTTGCACTGACAAGTAGCAGTCTCAACGACAAACTTATTGATGCAGCATACCAGGCCAGCACATGTTACTTTATTTTATTTTTTTGAAACGAAAGTACATGTTACTTTCATTTGTACGGGGCGCACAGGGCATACACACTGCTTCGTTTTCCGTTGCAGGACAGTGTAAGAAACCGATAATTCAGAGTACAGCATGCATGAGAATCCCAAACGAAGACATGGATCATCAGCAACTGATGTGTGTCTGCTAACCACAGTGTAATGCCAAATAATGATAAAAGTTCCGATTGGCACATCGTAGCTGCAAGACTATTTTCTACGTGAATAATGTTCATACAAAAACAAAAAAACGGATCTCCAGCTACTATCTGAATGATGCAACATCTTGACCTTTATGTACGTACACCCAACCAAACAATTCTTGCATCTTTTGCAGGGAAGAAGAAAAGAATCTTGCTTGCTTTTAGCACGTACCTAGTACTCCTTATGAACAGTATACATGAAAGTTGAGCTAGCACGTAACCAGATTTCAGTGGCTTTTGTGTATGCTGACTGTAGTGCAGGTCATCATCCTACTAACTTGACACTGACAGCAGAGTTTGACTAAAATTGACGAAAATTTGAAGTTGGGTTCAGAATTGATCTGGATCTACTAGGTTTCTACTAAACTGACAGCAATAATCATGGAAGCTCTAAACATCACCAAAAGGCGCCATGCAACATCTGCATGCATTGGCCTGTAAAGCGAGAAGATATGACATGGACGTATATAGGCGCACTGTTCCCATTTTATCCGTGTCCGGTCCCCTGATGTTACAGTCGCCATGGAAGGCCAACAACAAATTCCTTTTGTAAAGGATTGGAGGGGAGGAGTTGTTGGTCTTTTGTCCACAGTTTGACAGTTGATACTGATCTGAAACCGTGGAGCTTCCAGAACATAATAAAGCTCTGTCCTGTCGTGCCTTGAGATTTTCCATCCGAGAATGAATAAGGTTCTTTAAACTGCAACCTCCCATCTAGTCATGTAGGCTTGTAGTGGTTAGGTCAAAGCTTATACCATGAAAAAGCTCTCTTTTTTTTCTTCTGATGAAAAATGTGGTTCATATTTCTCTAGCTAGGAAGCATGCCCTCTGATGAAATCATGAAAAGAAGGGTCTTTAAACTACGACCTTCCGTGTAGTTGTTAGGTAGAAGCCCATCTTGTGCAAGGATACATTTATTTTCCTTCAGACCGATGTAAATCATTCCAGTGTCAAATCACAGATGATTCAACAACTTCTTGTTCGCCTCATCTTTCTTTATATGTTCTTTTTCTGATGCAGTCACTGTTGAGCATGTAAATTCTAATGCATGTGCAATGCAACCTACTATGCGTTTGCCAATTGATCTGCGGCCACAAAACAGTAAATAAAACATGCATGATAAAAAAAATGAGCTGCAGATAACTAATTATTTCTGTACGTATATTTTCCCCAAGACATGTAATGTAGGCATGATGCAGCAGTTGGTATTACTACGCGCGTACACACGGTGACATGGTGCTGCCACCTTTGCAATTGGAAGAAGGCTCTGGAGCTTGGAGCGCGGAGCGGCGTATGTAG